CAGTGTTGGAATCCTTGGAAAAGTCTACAGTCTATTTCCCTCTCATTAACACATGTGCTGGGTGTCTCTGCTGTGCTGCCTAGTGTTAGGGGAAAGTGATACAGGTAATGTAAAACTGCCTTTTCTGTACTTTTTGATGTATTTTTCTTATCTCCATAGCCTCCAAAGTTCCAACAGAAAAAGAAAAATAATAGATGCATGAAGAACTCCTAGCAATAAGACATCAACAGAGGAGTTCTAGCCCTGAAGACAAACCCTACTCTGGCTCTGTATTTTCTCTGGATCTCTTGTTGGCTGCAGAGATTACAGGAACTCCATCAGGGGTCATTCTGTGGGGAGAAAGACAGCTATTGAGAGAGGTGAGGAGACAGGAAGAGGGAATCAAGACATAGAGCTGAGACTGGGGTACAAATTTATAACCTCTGAGAGAAACCAATAATCAGAATAGTAGTGCCTCCCTAATACAGAAAATAAATAAGTGGACATCATATGGTCTGCAAGCCACCTGAGTTTCATTTTTTCACTAACAGATACACTTGGATCCACATTAAATGTTTGGCCATTGGTCATCATTTGTTTCATTGTTTATGCATGATTGTTCAGTTCACACAGGGATGCTCTAGACAGGTGAGAAGAGTACTTAAATGCCATGTTTGAATTCCTCTTAGAAAATATTTTAATTTTTAATATAAATCATATATGCTGTTTCTGTCCTGAGTTCAATTAAAAAGAAAGGATTTATTTTGTTTTTTCATAGACTGTAAAATACATATTGACAAGCACATAACATAATTGATCATTTTCTACACATTAACTTCCAATCTTCATAATGACAAATGTGAGGTTTTACAAATGCTAAATTTAGACTTGCTGGTATGTTTTGGTTCACTGATGACAAGGCTAGTGTTTAATTCGTGAAATATTTGTTAAGTTTTACTTAATTTTATCTTCATAATTTTTCTTCACTTTCTACTTCTTAGTACAGACTTCATTGAGGGATTTTTTTTTTAAAAGCTAATAATATAATGAAATAAGAAAAAGAAAAGGAAACTAACAAAGGTGCCTAAATTGGCCACCAATGAGTTAGGTGTTAGCATAGGGAAGAATTAGCAAAAGGAAGCCGCTGCAAAAACTGGTGATGAATTTCACAAAAATCTGTAAAAGCAGACAAGGAATGGATACCATGCCCCTGCAACCGGTTCTAACAGTCGAGATTAGCAGACTGCAGTTTTTCCTGTTAATGATACTCAAGTGGTGAAGAGGATTGCAGATGGTAACATAACAGAGCTGGGAATTTAGCTCAGTGGCACAGCGCCTGCCTGGCAAGTGCAAGGTCGTGAGTTCGATCCCCGGTACCCGAAAAAAAAAAAACAAAGCAAAACAAACAGACAGATGGTAACATAGCGATAATAGGCTGTGGCAGTTCCGTGAAGACCTAAGTACCTTCAGAGAGGTACGGACCTGCACTGCGCATTACCTTAGAAAACAAGTTCTGTTCACTCAGTATACAGAAAGCGTGGCATTAACAGTAGAGAAACGGCCCAGATACGTAGCTGAGGAAACTGCGTTTAGTTTGTACCAAAGAGGAGAGCATGGAATAGCACCAATTGGAAGGGAGCCGTGCTACACCACGGCACAACAGACAAACAAAGAACACAGAGAAAACTATTTGTACGTATGGGTCATAAGAAAGTCCAAGAAGATAACTTCATTGCCAGTGCAGATAACTGTATCCTGCAAGGCTATCTTTCAAAATAGAAGTAGAAATGTCCTTCAAAATTAAAAGGCCTTTCAAGAGAAGGAAAAATAGAGAAACCCATGGCCAATAAGCCAGCATTGCAGAAAATACTTAAGAGAATCCTAAACAGAGGTTTTGTAGATGAGGCTTGCTCCCCACTGTTGCTCTTGTTGCTTTTGCTGTCTTCTGCCGCCTTGCGCTGTTGCCCCCATGCCCTGCCACCCTGCCTGGGAGCCAGCTGATGGCAGAGACATGTACAGGGTTGGAGAAAAAGTTGAGGAATGAGTAGACTGTGGTCTATGCAGAAGGTCAAATAAGACTATGTCACAGCTTCGGCATCGGTCTTTCTTTGAGTCCCCATCTTTGACTTTTGAACTACTACAGTGATCTTGCTGACAGTGCTGGGATTAAAGAATGTTTTGCTGTGATATGAGTGGATGCTCATCCAGTTAAGATATTCCTTTTAAAAATTTAGTAATGCTTGATATTTAAATCACCAATAAATTCCTATGTAATTGGATAGAGTTTCTTAAACCAGGAATTTACAATAATAAATATTTCATAAATATGCTGTTCGCACTCTCAGGCTGAAGAAGACATTGTATCAAGTTCTCCACATGTAACTGACAGACATTTTTGCAAATAGACATTTTTGAATAGCCTAGAAAGTGAATCCTGGACAGGACACCAAGCAAATAAAAAAATTAATTTCAGATCAATAGATTTTGTTCATGTTCTAATCATATAAAATCATTATAATTTTTTCAGTCCAACTTTGTGGCCATTAGAGTAGCACAGGATAACAAAAGGTTTTATTTTTTCTTGTTTTGTTTTGTCACCTAGCATTCATTCTGATTGGATGAACACTTCCCTGACCCATTCTGAAAATCCACAAGGGCTCCCAGCCACAAGGACTGGACACACTCTTCTTTAT